TCGCCCCTTCAATCGATCGTTCCCAGACGTCTCCACCAGCGCTTGGCCCTCTTGTGACGACTCCTTGTCCTCTGATATCTCGCTCAGTCCTCCGGGCGCCGGCTGATGCGGCCACTGCACGCGTGCGGGGAACGGCACATAAACGACATCTTTGCTGAAAGGTATGTTGGGTTGCTTGCCAGCTTCAATTTCCTTCTGGCAATCGCGAGCGACTGTCTTATTTCTTCTGCTTCCATATGCCCCGAAGGCCTTCCCTGCCTCGTACTCGCCCACCGCTGAAGCCTTGCACAGTGTCCACCACTCCTCTGTGTATCCTCGTCTTATCGTTGAGGCTGTGGGTGCGCGCTCTTTCGGCCATCTCGGAATCTTCGAGGTGCATCCGCTGTCCAGCTCCAGAGGGATCATTCCAAGTTTAAAGAACGGGTGGGCTACAATCTGATCAGGCGTGGGTCTGTCGTCCTCGTGTACGAGTAGTAACGATACGATATCGCGCAGGTCGTCTGCGATCTCATTGGCACATTTTGCTTGGTCCGGCCAAGAGTATTCGCGAGCCTTCAGCTTTCGGTAGATGTCCTCACGTTTCGCTGCGTGGAAAGGCGCCCGGCCTACAGCAAGTGTGTACATCATAATGCCGATCGCCCACAGATCCACCTTCTCGTCGTGGCCCTTGCCTGTCTTTTCGAGAACCTCAGGCGCAAGATAGTTCGGTGTTCCGCACATGGTCGTTCGTCGAATCGCGCCGTAATCATTCTGGGAGAGGAGCAGGGCAGCGAGACCGAAATCACCCACTTTAACATTCATGTCCTTGTCGAGAAAGAGGTTGCCCGTCTTGAGATCGCGGTGCACAATATTTCGTTGGTGCAAGTATTTGATGGCACCGCATGTCTGCACCATGAATCGACGAATCTCCGGCATGGTGAAGTACTTGCGCTTCTTGATCGCATCGGCGAGGGAGCCGTTTTCGCACAGCTCGAGGACGACGTAGGTACTTGAGTAGAAGGAGAAGGCACGGTAGAACTCGACGATGTTGGGGTGTGATAGCTTCGAGTGGATTTGAAGTTCAGTCACAAACTGAAGCGCGTCAGCAAGGGCGACTTGGGTGCAGAGAGGATCTTCGCACCTTTTGTGCCAGTTTGGGAGGCTCCATTTTGGATCTGACGATCTTCAAAGCGACTGTACTGCTACCAAGGTGCTCGTGGCCCAGCAGCTTCGCGCGATGGCAGATGGCGAAGCCGCCCTTGCCCAGCTGCGGTCCAGTCTCATACTGCAGACCCTCGGGATCGCGCACCACTTCTGGTGGTGGCTCAGCGTGAATAGATGGGGTAGACATTCCAGGGTTGGGCGGTCGAATGTCGAAGGCCGTGGAGGCGTGAGCGCTGGTGTTGAAGTTCGGGACCGGGCTAAACAAACAACCTAAAATAGAATAGTACGGTTGGACTCACCCCTGCTCCGCCAAGCCTGCGCGTGCTCCAAGTTCACTCAGTGACACGCTGCTGCGAAGACTGTTTACCCATTTCGCAGGTAGTCTTAGAAACATTTGAGGTATAGACTGTTGGACAGGATCATTGTACTCACAGATCTCTGTCTTGGTGTTGCCTGCAGTCTACCCATGGCAAGTGCAAGTGACGTCGGCCTCGTAGAATTTCCGAGGTGCGGAACTTCAAGCAACTCTCGAAGCAGCCATCAACACTTCACAACACTTCACAACACTTCACAACACTCGTTGCTCATCCCAACCCTCTACAGTCGGGCGTATTTCCCTAATAATATTTACTATCGTATGGAGATTGCTATGATCCACTTGTGCCAGTTCAATTGCCCTTTATAACACCGCCGAGGCTCCTCCACTTAGCCCGTTATGTCTCTCACATTGAAAATAACCTCGCTGTTCGTAAGGACGCTGGCGAAGCCTATGGCCGTGAGTCTCATACCTAGCATAGCTGGATTGAAAGCTCAATTAGTGTAGAATGCCATCAAGCGCAATGCCCACGAACACGAACGATTCCGCAGAATATGTGTCGGCTTTGCGCAACGCATACATCGAGTAGACATGCGTATGCGCCTTGGTCTTCTACAGGACCCCGCAATAATCGATCGGCAAATCAAGAAGGAGGTGGCAGCAGCTAAGGCTGCACGAGACAAACATGCAACGCCCACAGTGAAGACAGAGGAAGAGATGAAAGCAGAAGAAGAGATGACGGAGAAGGAAAAAGAAGACATTAAGAAGAGGACAGAGGAGAAGTTTAAGCCGCGAATTCGACCGCTCTCTGAACAAAAGGCTATCGAGACAGGTGCAAATTTCGTGGCCGAGGCATTCATCTTCGCAGTGGGCATAAGCGTCATTGTATTCGAACAGTGGCGGCAGAGGAGGAAAGCCAAGAACGCCCGAGATGACATTCGGGAGGATCTCGAAGAGCTACAGGTCGAGCTAAAGACTGTCAAGAGTGAGCTCGAGGAGTTGAGAAAGAAGCAGCCCGACCCTGTACAGCAAGGAAAGCTGCTGAGCTTCTGGAGGGGCAGCGGAATTGCTGAACCTCATAAGACGGAGGAAGAGCACAGGGCTGAAGCCAAGAGAGCTGTCTTCATGGAGAAGGAAGCTAAGAAGCTCAGAGATGAAGCAGCTGCGAACAAGCAGTCCAATACGCCGCAATTGACCACAGCGCAAACATTAGACAACGAAAATTCGCCACCATCCACAGACGACAGCCGGTCGGAACACTAGTACAATACATGCGCCGTCAATCCTGAGCTCTGGTGCACTCCTCCGCTAGTTGCTTCGTGGGCGATCGCGCAACGACTCTTTCAGCCGTCATTCGCACTCTCTAGCGTATGCTGTAAAAACTTTCTCCTTTCATGATACCCATTTAGACAAGACGGACGATAGACTTGTATTGCATGTTCGTTAGTGTAGATGTATTGTATGTACGCTATCATGCACAGGTCTCGAAGGACCTGGTGTTGACGCAGTATGTCCCACAAGGCGATGCCTAAAAAACCTCTACGGATGTCTCCAAGTATAAAGTTCTTTTTCCTTGACCTGCTCCGACACGTTCGTTTAGTTATTGCTCGCACCTTCCCTCTGTGTCAAGCCACGTGCTCCGGCTGTCCCTTTGCGAATCGCTTACAACATGCTCGCCACTCCACCGCTCATATCTCAAGGTGCTGCTCCCACTCAACCCCTTTGTCACCTTCGATATCCACCTGGATCATCTTCTAGTATCCTGATACGATACTCGCTTTATCGTCTTCGTGTCATTGTAGGTGCGTACAAGCCATTATGGTTCTGCTCAGGCTCACTTTCATAACAGTTTCAGTTCCGACCAAATCTGTCAGAAGACATCTTGTCTCAGAGCAAACCAAGCACTGTAATATCTTACTATCATCACACTGCCTCTGCACATAAAGACCCAGGAGCGCACGACCAAATGCGACCAGTCGTAGCATCATCCATGGGCACCATGGCACGCGCCGTACAAAACCCAGCGTCTCTAGTCGATGAGCCTGCCAACTATCGTCCGCATATAATTCCATCCGCCCATCTGCAGTCCGTCCCTCACATATACCAACACCAGCAGCTAAATCAACATCGACATGGACATCAGTACATGCAAGCGAAGCCCATGCATCAAGCTCAAAGTAAGGTGGCACCTCAGCTACCCCAGAAGCGGAAAAGCGAGGCTGTCGGAAGCGCAGTCACTATTCTTCTTCCCTACTGCACCACAGAAGTACCACTGAGCGAGGAGCAAGTCATCGTAATGACTGACGTCGCAGGCAGCCTAAAAGAGTTGGTCCTGCTCGCACTAGGAGCCAAGGACGGCGACGGAGAATGTGTGAGCAGACTCGAAGGTGCATTGGGCAGCGAGCAGGCAACTGTAGGCGTTGTTGATTTCTTCTCTGATGAATACGAGGTCTGAGGGATCTGGCCAGAGTGGTCGTGGTCGAAGGAGATGTACTATGGTATCATGCGTAAGTTTTGTGAGTGGGGCGGCACGGTGGAGATGTTCGGCTGTATTATTCGGGGTGGCCAAATCTTGGCTTTGTCATACTTTACATACAATCTTGGTACCTTGTCAACAGTACAGGTAGGATCTAACTCCTCTCCAGTCTTCCTTGTTACCCATACTCGACGGTGCCGCCCTCCAGTTACCCACGTCTCGTCACTCCAGAGGATCCTCCACCACTGCCAAGGCTCCCAGTTGACATGCTCACGAGCCCAAGCAAGGCGCAAGTCCTTATGGAGTTGGGTGAGAGGTGGCTTGGCTCGGGCAATGCGGCGTGTGTATCCTCTAGCAGTCAAGGCACGGCGTATCACGTACTCTGACACCCCCCATGCGTCAAAGGGACCGTACGCAAGTTGATGCCAGCTCATCTGACGTGTACGTCGTGATGATCGGACGTACGCCTCAAGCTCGTCTACTTGGGCATCTGTAAGGATACGTGGGCGACCACTACGTCGTTTTGGAGTGACAGAAACACTAGTAGCTGCCCACTCAACTTGTCGCTCGGTGACGTGGAGGAGGTTGGCGATATATCTGTACGTATGACCAGCTAGCCGTAGAGTCTGTACCTGCAGGCGCTGGTCCCGTGATAAATGCTGACTATGGGGTGGTGTTGATGGACAAGGAGTAGCCATTTTAGGACGGTTGATCGATGGGATACATGAGATGGATAGGATAGATGAGATGGATGAAATGGACGAGTAGTAGACATTCTGGGGGGCACACAGAGATGCTTCTCGAAACAGGTTAACATTGTATTGTATACAGAATTAGGTAGGATTTGATGTAATTTGGACGATAGAGAGGTTCCGCATCATCCGCCAAGCACCCCCACCGTGCATCTCCACTCACAAAACTTACGCATGATACTATAGTATGCAAATGAAGTGGAGCTATCGTAGACCCACTCCGCAAGCGAAGCAACGGCGCAGAACAACAAACAAACAGCAAAATGAAGGCCCTCTCCACCTTGCGGATGCAAATACGAGGCTGCAAAAAGCAAGGGCCGAACCGGGATCGAACCGGTGACTTCAGGATCTGCAATCCCACACTCTACCGCTGAGTTACCGACCCACTTATTGTTGTTGATAAATAGTATTGAAATTGTGTGATATATATTTGCAATGAGCTGCGCAGTCTTCACCACCAAGTGTCAACTTGTGTCTATGTTTGGCGAGCACGCCCCACTCATAGCCAAAATCACACTGATGTGGTGACTCTTGTGTCATGTTCACATCATCTCTCGCGGTGCAAGAAAGCTAGCCGCATCAGATGGAGCCTCCACATAAAACCTTTCTCTCTAGCGGCTGTTACAATCAACAAGAACACTGCTTAGGACGTGCACCTTTCAATCCTTTAAGTGCCCGAGAACTTATGCACATTCCACAAACATGCACCAAAGACCTCATAAACTTTCAAGGGACCTTCACGCATGCACCCAGCCTTCTCGATACCGCAGGAGCATCAAATCACATATCGATATTCGACACTGAACTATCTACACCGCTTCACGCAGCAAGTTCATCCTCGCTATCCCCAACCTCAGCCCACGCCCTCTTCCTAGTTGTCGGCAGAACATCCAGACTCCTCCTCTTATGCACACTCTTCGGGCCGGTCGTTTTGGGCTTCGCCCACGACTGCTTGACTTCCTTCATATACGCTTTGCGAGCTAGCCTGCCCGTTGACTTGGCGCCTGATGATGCCAGGCCCGAGGATTGCTGGACTTGTCTAGGTGTTTTGAAGGCGGGTGAGCTGCAGAGGAATCTACTCGCCTGTGGGGTGTGGGATTCGCGTTTGATGTTGACGTGTGGTGTTGCTGGTTGTTCGTAGGCGCCATTGAGATCGAGGTCGTCGTCTGGGTTTGACGCGGCGCGGTATGCGGGCTTAGACTTGGGTTTGGTTTTCTGATTTGTTTCGGGCTTTGGACTTGGGGATACTGCGACGACTGAGTCTTGCGTTTCTGGGATCGTGCTTGGTAGCGCTTTGGGTATGGTGGGGCCTTCGTCCTCAGACTCTTCGGTCTTGAGCATCTCAAGCTGCAATTCGCCTTCGTTGCGGAACTCGGCGCCTTCAATCAAGGGAAGAGCTTCGTCCGGTGATGGGTAGGCATCGTCATCATTATCGTGCTCGGCTTGCGTAAGAAGCTCCTCAGCGTTGTCATCACCCGCTAGAGAGAGGAGTTCTAGCTCATCGTCATCAAAATGGGAACTCGACGGTAAAATAGTCCTCTCATTATGGGTATCGCTCTGCCCGAGAGAGCTTGGGGTGGGGAAGTGATGTGACGCAGAGGAGGTCTCCGGTATCTCTTTACTTGAGAAGAAATGCTCATCGTGCTCAGGGGGTGTCGCTGAATTGCACTGCGGAACTGACGCATTGTTTGCCGTGCCCTGCAGATGGAGTCGCTTGTCCTTGAGTCTACTCCAATGATTGTAGAAAGCGCTGCGGGGCCAGCCCGACCACTTCTCTTTACTGGCTTGGATCTCCTTGACAGACTCATTGTGCATCTGCCTCCTCTTGGTGATGTACATAGTATCCTCCTCGGTGAAGTGGTACTTTTTACGAGTCGATCTTATTGCCTTGTCTTGGCAGCCGGGCGAGTTGCCAACAGAAGGGTTGAATTGCGGGGAGTCCTTTGCGTTGTTGCTCAATGCAGGTAATGCGTGTGTACTTTGTGGTCTCTCACTCTCGGCAGATACTACCTGCGGACTACGCTTAGGTTTTGGCGAGTCAAGCCTCCTCCGCTGGATGTGGATTTTGGGGCTCCTGCGGCGCGAGACCAGCGGCGAGCTGGCTTCGTTTCGGTTGTTGGTTTCTGATAGTAAGGCTCTGTGCATAACGGGCGGTGAAGATCTCTGATCTTCAGCCAATTGCGTATCTTTGATGCTGGCCATGGGTGGGAAGTACCATTTTGGGTCCGTCGCGGGTGTTACGTTGTCGGTAGCTGGCGCAGGTAAAGATGACAACTGAACAACGGGAGCTTGCGCAATTTGCATACTTGGAGTCGTCTGGAAGACGCTTGATAGCAACGGTGCAACGGCTCGCTGCACGGCCTGCGCAATCTCCTGATTCAGGTTGGCATAGAAGGCTGCTTGCGCCTGCTGACCAAGCGGTGTCTGCGGAAATTGAACGTGCTGCAGCAGGCTCGCTGCCGGGTTTGGTGTACTCGGAGCTTGGAGCGCATTCTTTTGACTTAGTTCTGTAGGTATAGTACTTGCAGGGGATGCAACGGCCTCCACACACGGCTGCTTAGAAGGAGGCGTAACGTGCGATTGATCTCCCACGTCAACGCCCTTCCTTCTTGGCACTTGTGTGGGCGCCAACTCGTCCTCTGATTCAGCCTGGTCCTCTTCTTCCTCCGAGACGTCACCCTGCTCCGGTTCAGGCTCCAGGAGACTGTCGAGTAATGTCCGTTGTTTCCGCTTCATCTGTCGCTGGACCCTCCGAATGTGTCCCCGGTCCACCACCACCTGGCCCGTCCTAAAGTCGATTTCGTCGCTCATCGATTCGTGCATGCCTTCGTATTTGGCGAAAAGCGACTCGAGCCTGCCTTTGAACTTTTGCTGTTGCTTCTGCTTCGCTGCAATGTAGTCGGGGTTCGTCTCGTCCACTTCGACAGACTGAAGGATGCGCAAACGCTTGGCCGGAGGCTCCATGGTGATTGTGGCAATCGAGCGAACGGACACCCCTGGGGCCTGGGCGATGCGACGGACTGGGCGTGTTGTGTCGAAAAGCGAATGTGTCTGGCGGGGACTGTTTGCGCCGACCGAGGAGCACGAGCTAGACGCGCGACCGATGGCTGGGACGCGCTCCCCTCGCGTTTGGAGTGGGGCCTGCGGGAGCTAGTGGCCACCTGCAGCATGATGCACATCGAACAGCTGACCACTCCGAGCTTCATCTTCACACCCTACACACTACTTCTGACCACATCCTCCGAATCTGAAGATGCAAAAAATCAGGCCATAGCATCATGGTCAACGAAAAGAGCAGCCACGGCTTGTACTGCCAGAAGTGCCGTACACCCATCGACATCGATGCCTCCATCGACCAGCTCAACCCTGCAGCTTTCAAGCTGCTGACAGGTATGCTTGCCAACCAGACTTCTGCAACTCGTCCTTTTCTGACTTTCCACTAGACTCGACTGTCACAGCTCAACAACAGAGTCAGAACAACAACCCTCCCCGCCAGTCCCGCCCCACGTACCCATCCTCAAGACACCAGACCTATGAAACGGCGATACAATCTGCAAGGAACCCCACATTCAAGCGCAATATTCCCTCCTCGAGGTTCCAGCATGGTGGTCAGAACCCCGCCATGTCGTTCGTCAACGTGCACATGTCCGAGTCGATGATGGACCCACCAGATCACCCCCTAGTACCAGCACCAGTGCGCAGTCCTGACCAGCAACCTCCAGCGGAAGCACCACAGACACAACCCTCTACGTCTGAGTCGAGAAAAGCCAGTGTCACAGCAGGAACTGGGACCGTAGGAGGAGCAAGTTTGGCTGATGGCTTAGAGACCACACAACGCATGTTCGAGATACTGTCTGCGCGCTCAGATATTGACCACCCAATATGCGTTGAATGCACGGAACTCCTTGTCGAAGGGCTGCAGAAAAGACTCGGAGTAGCAACACGGGAACGCGACGCTTACGTGGATTATCTTCGTCGTGCCAACACGGACGTGCCCAGCGCAGAAGAAGTCAAGGCTGCCGACGCTGCCCTCAAGGCCGCAAAGAAGGCTGAAGCTACTGCGATCGCCAACCTTGAGAAATTAGAAGCGGAAAAGATAGATCTAGACACTCAACTAGCCGCCCTTGAAGTTGAAGCTCGCCAGCTTGATCAGGAGGAGGAGGATTTCTGGAGAGAGAGAAACTCCTTTACCTCCACACTGACAGAGTTTCAAAATCAGCGCGATGCCCTCACAGCGCGACACGCCCACGATACCCAGATACTAAATCAACTTCAACGAAGAAGTGTCTACAACGACACATTCAACATAACGCACGACAACCACTTCGCCACAATCAATGGGCTGCGACTCGGCCGCCTTCCTTCTCCATACGTCGATTGGCCTGAGATCAACGCCGCCTGGGGCCAGACCTGCCTTCTCCTCGCCACACTGGCCGAGCGCTTAGGCTACAAATTTCAAAACTACGAACTCTCTCCCATGGGCTCTACATCTACTATTCTGAAACACGAAGTCAAGAATGGTGCCTCTATCGTCGATTCCCGCGCCTCGACGGCTAGCTCCCCTAACGTCCAAAAACAGCGCCTCGAGCTGTACTCTTCAGGTGACTTCCCTATCAATTTTGGTTTCCTGCACCGGAAGTTCGATACCGCCATGGTTGCGTTCCTTGAGTGCTTACGACAGCTGGGGGAGTTTGTGGAAAACCAAGGTGTTGATGCAGGAAGCAGTCTGAGAGTGGGCATGGGTGGGCCGGGCGTCAAGATGCCATACGAGATACGCAAGGATCGAATTCACGATCAAAGTATCAAGCTGGCGCTGAACAAGGAAGAGAGTTGGACGAAGGCGTGCAAGTATACGTTGACGTGTTGCAAGTATCTGCTTGCACATGCGAACAACGTTGAAAGTATGGCCGCGAGGCGGAGATGAGGTCGCTGTAAGAGCACCAGTGAACATTACGACAGATGATACCCAAGAACTATAATGAAGCATATGACCATCTCTTGCTAGCACGTAGTCTCTCTGGTGATTGAGAAGTCAGACATAGTAGCAGCCAATGCTTGTCCCTCGTTGCATTACCTGCGAGCCCTATCTGAAATGGACAAAAATACTCTGTAGTTCACTGCCTGGTCCTTAGCTCACAAGCCTTGCATACACTTCTTTGGATTCCTTGCAGAAATCAGGGCGTCCTGTCTGTCACAGTTGATCAACATCGCACTTGCATACTGTGTTCTTCACATCACTTCTTGGAGGAAGTCGCGGTCCAGCAAATGACTGCCACACAAAGGAGCTCGATTCAGACAATAACGACTCGGTTCATGATTATGTCTATAAAACTGATCCTGATAACAGCCACGAATGTTATGAGTGAAGGCACCTCTTTTCTTGCT